CTGGCTGGGGTTAAACCACGACACAAAATTTATCTGTGCTGCTTTTAAATAATTCTTTTCGTAGAGTACAGAAACCTGCACTCATAACTTTTTGAACATTGGTTGGGGCAGGGCAGCCACAGCCTCCCTGGACAACCTGTGCCAGTGTCTCACCACCCTCGCAGGAAAAACTTCTTCCTGATGTTTCCTTCTACTCTGTTTTACCTGAAAGAAACTAGTTTGTTGTCATCAACTCAGTACTTTAGTTTTGTCAGCTGGAAAAGCCACACAGGTCAAAACATAATTTAGTGTAACTGATTGAACACTCTTGTAGTTTCTTAAAGTGTGTCATATCCTTCAAGGAGTTTTACTAGGTGTAGAAAAGGTAGCAGAGAATCCTTGTGAATTCTGAGGTGCGAGTAGAACCAGTCAGTGTTGAGCACTTCAAACTCTTGGTGTCAGCTACGGGATCTAGTCAAGTTTTCAGCTTGTTGCCTGCAAGCTCTGAAGTGTCAACACTTTCCAGTAATTGATAAAGAGTTACTTAACATTAACAAGCTCTAATGATTATTTCAGAGGACATAACAGATGTCACTGGTTGTGACAGACATTCTGTACTGTCAGTTTATGGAGTAAGGGCGTTTTCTAGTGGCAACAGTTTCAGTCTATTTCTTCCAAGGAACAGGATTTCCTGATCAGTTAATTACCTATATTTGAATGCAGTGGTTTTAATTGTTGTGCAATCCTGTATTAATTTATACAAGATTATTAGTAGCATACATTATTATAATATTCTTACCCCTTAATATTTTTTATTAAGATATAAAATATCTTTAAAGGTCACAGCCCACCTTCAAAGCGTATCTTTTCCCTGTCACCAAACAGCAGCAGCTGCCCCTGAACTCCAACAATGCACAACCGGGGAAAAGGCTGCAGGTCTGCAGGGCGGGCGTGGGTGGTTTGGAACCCCTCGGCAAAGGGCACTCCGTGCTTGCTGGGGTGGATGGTCAGGCATTCCACTTGGGAAACTTGTGCCCGTTTCCCACAGTTTTTGGTTGCTCTTCAGCAGCCTGGCTGGAGTGTCCTAGTCTCAGATCTTTGCATTGTCAGCTGTACAGTTACTTGCCTTTTAAAAATGCGCTTGTTAGATGGACCATAAGTGTTGAGCTTACAAAGGCACAATTTTTTTTGCCCATCTTTCACCTCGTTGTCATTGGTTTTTTGTTTGGTAGAGATAGGAGGGTCGTTACTAATGGTCTGATTTTTCATTTCCCTGCTTCCCGATGCAAGGATTGTACATGCCTGCCTTGTCACAGCAGTGCAGGGAAAGCTCCTGCACACCAGGTGCCAGAAGCCTGCTAGGACAGCAGCACTGGGCTCTTGCTACTTAGAATCATCAGGGTTGGAAGAGACATTTATCAAGTCCAACTGTCCACTCAGCACTATCACTGTAACTCTTAAGCCACTAAACCGTATCACCCAGCACAAGATGCAGATGCCTATTAAATGCCTCCAGGAGTGGTGATTCCACCACCTCTATGGGCAACCTATTCCAATGTCTGATCACCCTAACAGTGTAAAAGTTTTCTGATACCTAATCTGAATCTCCAGTGCCTCAGTTTAAGGTCATTCCCTCTAGTCCTCTCACTGCAGGCATGGCAGAAGAGACCATCCCCCACCTCTATACAACATCCTTTCAGGTACTTGTAGAGAGCAATGAAGTCACCCCTGAGCCATCTCTTCTCAAGACTGAAAAAACCCAATTCCCTCAGCCCTTCCTCATACGACATGTGTTCCAGACCTTTCACAAGCTGGACTTGCTCTAGCACCTCAATGTCCTTTTTAAAGTGAGGGGCCCAAAACTGAACAGAGTACTCAGGTGTGGCCTCACCAATGCCGAGTACAGGGGATGATCACTTCCCTGGTCCTGTTGGCCACGCTATTCTTGATGCAGGCCGACATGCCATTGGCCTTCTGGGCCACTTGGGTACACTGTTGGCTCATATTGAGACAACTGTCCAACAGCACGTAACAGCTCTGCCGATCTGCAAACCTCTGGTTTGCCAGGACTAACAATTTCCAGCTTACCTGATGAATTCCTGAGTGGTTTCTGAGGTGCACTACCATAATTTACAGTCACCCTCCCTGTGATCCTCCCCAATGCTCTTCCTACATACCTTACAAAGATGAGCCTGCTACAAACTACTGCTTTTTTGTAATAACACCTGCTTGGTGTGACATTTGATGGCTCTTTAATGATGCTCCTAAAAATAAAAACACCAAATATGACTTGTTGCAAACAATTTATTATAAATAAGAATTTAGCAGAAAGGACTATACAGCAATAAGGCATATTAATAGTACTGGTAAATAGGCAACTGACACACCTTCTTAACATTTTCCTCTAGTTTTCTAAGAAAGTGCTATGCAGAGAAATGTACTTCTGATACCAGTGCCAAGTGATAGCAAGGATGCACTACAAAGGACCCAACTGCTGCGTTATTCACCTTAAAGAAAATGTAACAATCCATGAAGCTTTTATCGTTATCTAGGCCAGTGAAGTTTAAGTAGAAAAGTATAGCTTGCTAAGAAGAATACAAAATATAAGTCTCCTGTTTTTAATGACTTACTAGCTTTAATTTCTTAAACTGCACTTACTAGTAGGAAGGTATGAGTAAAGTTACTATACAAGAGCACAGTTCTTCACATTCATTTAAACTTTTATTTGAAAACTTAGAGGCAAGTGCTAATTTTATTTTTTAAAAAAACTTTTTTTTTTTTTTTACAAAATATTGCACACTGTTTTAGCATGCAGGTTACACGGAAGAAATAGTCAAGTGCACTTAAAACCCTGAAATACAACCATAAATTTTAAAGATTTGTGTTACAGATGCTATTGTAATGTACAAGGATATGTTTCAGACTGCATAGGACCCCACCTTATACTTGGGACCCAACTGACTGAGTCCCAGCCCTGACTCTGCAAAAAGCAGGCAGGATGCTTACAAACTGTTCCTGACTTCCTTGCAATATAAATCTTCATTCCTGCATCCTGCACTGCTTGCAGCCTCAAGAAACTGAAGTAAGTAATCAGTAGGAAAATTAGTTTAACAGACATAACTTAGTACCTCCTATATGAGTTTTTGTTACTGCATATGTGTTGCAATCCAGGGTAAGATTCATTAAACTTTCCGAAGTCCTCTGAGTAAGGTTCATCAGTAAATCTGTATCTCCCTCTCCTCCCTATACACATTTTATATTGCACAGCAAAAGTAAAAATCCATTTTAAAAACCAAGCATGCTAAACATTCAATATGGCTTCTGAATGGTTTAAAGTATTTCCCTTTTGGCATCCTCATGCAATATTATAGAATAAATATGAATACAAAGTATGACAAAGAGTAAAAATAAAGCAAGCTATAACATTTGTCAGAAACCAAATAAAAACCAAGAGTTTATCAAAAGTAGTTGCTCAAAGGTCTAACTGGTCTTTTAAGCATACTTACCCACAGTATCTTAAAATGTGTCTACAAAATACTGTAACATACACCACCTCCTTGATGTTCCACAGAACGACACGAAAGGTAAATAGGTTAACTGAGATTTGCTTAATGGCACTGGTAGTCCCATAGTCCTCTGGGAACAAAAGCTTTACTGGATTCATGCTCGTCCAACTCGGTAAACCACTGACATTTCATTAGCTTTATTGGTTAAGCTCAAGCCCTACAATAGTTTATATATGAAACACAAAAATATTTATAAAAATAATAGATATGTTGTATAGTTTTTTTATAAAAATAAACCATGCAGCTTCTGTACAAAGTTAAAAAACTGTACAAATTGACTTTTCTATTGTGTAAAATTCATGTCCATGGAAGTCTTCTGTTACAGTGAGAAACAAGTTGTTTTTTGCTTAGCCATCAGATGCCATTTCATGACACTTGTTCATTCCATCATTCATTCCTTTCAGTTGGCATTAACTGGCCATTTAACTTCATCAGGAGTTTTACGACGAGACCTGCCTGTGTAAAGGTGTGCAATTACATTCTATCAGCATTTCAGAACTGTGACAGTCAAGTCTATGTCAAAGGTAATTCTCAGTTTTATCCAACCTCAAACTCTGCTAGACTTGATCACAAAGATACCAGCTCCACCTCTGTGATTCTCATCATACTGGAATTATCCTTAGAGTCTGAGGGATTGTGCACACGATACACTCAGTTTCAATTAAAAACCCCAACAATTTACCTCAATGATTACAGATGCATTTTATGTATTTTGCATTCTGAAGGCTTCACATGCTAGGAAAACAAGCAAACATTCTGAAATAGTATCAATAAGGAAGTTTAAAAATAATTTTTCTGGGGGCTTGGCTTGGGCTTCTATATTGTGGAAGCATGGTCAGCCTCAAGAGAGAAAGAGGCATGAATCTAATTTAGGAAAAGAATAATTGAACATAAAGGATGAGAAATTATAACGCTTACCTGTTTGGTGTGCACGATAAAGCTCATTTTGTTTTCCAAACTGTGGATTTGAAAACATGTATCTCCATCTCCCAACTGCCACATAAAGCAACCATACTTTAGGCTGAGGAGCAAAGCCTACAATGAAATGTAGGAAACTGTCACTCAGAATATATTCTCTGTACACAGAAACTGAACTTTCCTTTGTTCACTTAGACAGGATTCAGACTTAAACTAATATGTTCCACCACATCACTGTAGCTTACAAAGTAGTAAAACAAAAAAATACAAGACTATGTTAGTAGTGACTTGTAAAGATCTTAGAATCTTGGTAATTTTCAGTCAAGTTGAACCAACAGCTGGATGTGAAATTACTTCTAGTACAAAGATTTTAAGAGGACAGAATTAAGCTTAACAGTTATCATTGGCAGTTCACTTAAACTGACCTTTGTTTCCATGTTGAGGAGGTGCAGCCCTTTTACATTTACTCCTACATAAACTTTGATGACTTTATGGCTACTTGAACTTGCTTTGGTGAATATCTGTCCCGTGAAAAAAGCTGCTCCATACGTAGGAATTTCCCAGCAATTCTGCAAGAACATGCGCTGAAGGTGATGCATCTCCTTACTGACACCTTCACTGGTGCTGAGATTCTAGAAATAAAGGAACAACAAGGCAATCACAAGTCTTGTGGTTATTTGAAGAAAATCCACTATGTAGTGCAATTCCCACTAAACGTGTATTTCCAAAGTGCTTTCCCAGCAACCATCTTCCTACAGCTAAATTAAACCTTAGAGCCACAGAAAGGCTCAAATACTAAGAGACAGGCAAAAACCAGATACCTTTATGAAGCTCAGAAATCTAAGCACAGACATAGCCTCTGATGAGCTGCACAGTTTTGCCTCTCTCAGAAGTAACTTGGACTCGGGATAAGCAGCTGTACACCCATCTGACACTAAATGCATCACAATCCTTAAAACTAGGCATTCTTCCTCCTTGAAGGGGTCCAATCCAGTGAGACATGGTAAGATGAGCAAGCACCTGCCTTCAAAGCCATGGACTATTTTTCTTTTCTAAGCAAAACAGAGGTGCAGTTTTCTTTTCATTAGTGGAGCCTCGTTCAGAACGAGCCAGGCTTCTGTTCCTTCCTCTTCAGTAGAGTGGAACAGTCAGAGCAAACGGTTGCTGGAATGCTCCCACCTCAAAACAGGCTAATATAAAGTACTCTAACAAATAAATTAGTTGGCATGTGCACAAGGTGAGAAGGCACAGACATGAGAGTGAACACAAGTCAGAGGGCTATGACTGTGGGTGTGGTAGACGAGATCAACTCTATCTGGCAGCTAGCTACCCTCAGTGATGCATATCGGCTGGTAGAGTTCTCCTTCTGACACACCTCACTTTTTCCCCAATTATTTATGAAGCTCACAAATTTAACCTGACCTCATTTGGGATCTGCAGCCCTCAGTTAGATGTATTTTACACAAGTAGCCCAAGTCCATATTTAAAACTTTTGCTCAATGAACTGCTCTAATCAAAGGAGTCTGTGTGCACGTGCACACATGCACAGCAGCAGCACTATCAGATCCCTAACATACAAGTTACACTGGCAAAAAGGACTTTGGATCTATCCCTACAAGAAGACATGAAAATGTAAGTCAGATTTCTTTACGTCTATGCCCAAATTGGAAGCATCCCCAATACATAGTTAACACTGAAGGTAAGTGAACAATGACAAAAGTATTTACTTCTAACAAAAGAGATCAACTGTAACAGACCAAGAAAAACATCCCAACAACCCATCCAAAAAATTTAAAACATACACATTTCTAACTTTATATACCAGTATGTTTGTTCATTAACTGACAATCAAACAGTCAAACAATGTTTAAGACAGGACTTTGTACTATTTGCTTATCTATCTCACCTTGTATTCATGAAGTATCCTGTTTGTCCAATGAGGAGCTTTACTTTTTAGTTTAGTGATTGGTACTATAGATTTAAGATTTTCTTCACTAAAAGAAGAAGAGAACAGAAAAAAAGTTTGTTTTCACCAACCAAAGAAAAAAGAACAATGTCTGCCTTTGTTTCTTTAAGTCACATATTGAGCTAGACAGTCAGTTCCTACTCTATCTTGTCTCATCATGTGAGAAGCTTTCCTGAAATGTAAGATACAGCATAATTCTCAGTTAACAGAGATCCAGCTTTGTGTCACGCATCAGGGATGCATGGTGAGGAAATGCCAGCAGCAAAACTCGTACTTGGTTACAGAGCAGTTTGAATTCCAGTTTGGAAGCCAAAATTATATACAAACAGCCATTTACATCAGCATGTCACATACTCAGAAAGTGTTAGAAACTGCAGATACTCTTCCCTCCGCTCCAGTATTCAGCACCACCAAGAACTTGGCCTAATTAATTTCCACAGGCGAGTTATATATTACAAGACATGAAAGAGAAGCTACATGTATAAAGTGCCTTTTTATAAAAACCCAAAGCACAGCAAACAAAAAACACTAAAAGGGAGAAAGCGAGCCTAGATTAGTTTCCTTTTATGTGCCATTAAGACAGTCTAAAAACCTAGTGATGTAACCTATTACTGAGTTTTAAACTGTATTTGTCAGTAACTGCACACATGATAAAAACCCAGCACAGGACAATGCATCCAGATCTTTAAGGCAAATGATACTCTGATACAAACAACAGCCTGGATATCTTTTTGAAATTACCAGTCTTTGAATAAGCATTTATGTCAACTACAAAAAAATTCACAATATAAATCTCTTCTTCTATCTGAAGAACAAGCTGAGATATTTTCCAACATCTTCATAGAATCATAGAATTTTAGGGGTTGCAATGGACCTTACAGATCATCTAGTCTCACCCCCCTATCATGGGCAGGGACACCTCCTCACTAGATCAGGCTGCTCAAGGCCTTATCCAACCTGGCTTTGCACACTGCCAGGGTCGGGGCAGCCACCACGTCCCTGGGCAGCCTGTGCCAGTGTCTCAACACCGTCACAGGAAAAAACTCTTCTTCTAATATCTAACCAAAACTTCCCCTCCTTCAGTTTGAACCCATTACCCCTTGTCCTAACAAAGAGTCCCTCTCTGGCTCCCTTGTAGGCCCCTTCAGATATTGAAAAGTTGCTATGAGGTCTCCATGCAGTCTTCTCTTCTCCAGGCTGAGCAGCCCCAACTTCCTCAGCCTGTCTTCATAGGGGAGATGGTCCAGTTCTCTTACCAACTTTGTGGCCTCCTCTGGACTTGATCCAACAGTTCCATGCCATTCTTATGTTCAGAACACCAGAATTGCACACAGTATTCCAGGTGGGGTCTCATGAGAGCAGAGGGGAAGAATTACCTATTTAAGGTGATATGCATGGAAAGCATGCCCAAACGCCCATGAGGCTCTTTATCTGGCCCAAGCTGTCTTTAGTCCTCTCTTTAGTCAAACAATTCCATTAAGCAGGATCAACTTGGAACCACAGTACTGATATGCCTCAGTGTGGAGAGAAGCAGCACCCTGGAGCTGCTGGGAGTCAGCAGGGGGTAGTTTTGTACTAAACCCAACTGTCAAATCGCACACCCATTCAGGTGGGAAGTCCCACCTGCAACCCTGTTCTCCTCCTCCACTTAACAACTGTGTAACTGCAGAACAATACAACCAAAAAAATCAGACAGGCAAGGCAGCTCAGTTGTTGCTGTGAATGAGAGGAGAGGAGAAGCATAGTAGCATTCCAGAATAGCACAGCTGCTGTTACATGAATGAAGTGAGGTGGAGATGGCAGGGGGTGAAGGTGCACACAGTGGAGAACTGGAATCTTGATGGGCTCAGATACTGCTGTAGGAATGTATGTGGGAAGAAAAAGCCACATCCCAGAATAGCTCAGCTACTGTTGTGCTGCCATGCAGAAAGAAGGGGAGAGAAAAATACCATCTGGCAGAGTCCTACTGGTGCTATGGTTTTGACCAATTTAGTACAGCAGTTCTTATACAAATGACAGAAGAGAAATTATGTCTCTATGTGGTCTGTCCTCTTCAAAGAAGGAGGAAAGTCAATCCCATAAGCTGGTCTTACTGGAGGTTTCTTCAGCATTGTTCAAAGTCTCAGTCCTGTCAGAACCTGAATACTCTTACTCGTTTTGGTATTACTGTATCTCAGGACAGACTTATAGAACACAGAACCTCCATCCCTCTGCCTGGAACTGCAATAATTGAGATTAATACATTTTTCAGACCTGATGAACAGTTTCTCTTGCTACTGTGAGGATTAGGTGATTACTCTGAGCTACAGCTCAGTGATGGAGAAAAACAACAAATATATCCTACCTAAAATTTGAAAGTTCCATAGTAAGTTCTATCTAAAAATACTTAATCTAAACCCATAATTTTAAGTTTTAAGCACACATACTTACTTTAGAAAGCCCTGTTTATGTTTCTTGCTCTCATAATTTCCATACACTATTTGTAGAAGCAGACTTGCCAGTGTGATCAGCTTGGCATCAGGTGATGTATAAAAACCTTTCAGTAAATTATATCTGGCTTCATCAAAAAGGATAAGAATAGCCAATGGATCCTCAATCTGTTAAAAAGATTTAAATAACATGATTCCTTTGTAAAAAAGAAAATTACTTGAGAAAGAATACAATTTCTTACCGATTCAGAGACAGAAGACAAAGGTGGGACCCTGAGTGAAGTGTACATTTTAGTAGTGCTTTGTAACAGAACAAAATGACATGTTTTCATTGACTTCAACACTTTGATGATCTAACACACCAATGAAAGGTGAGTGGCATACTATGCCCAATCAAAAGGTTCACAGAAATACTGATATCTGTGGAATTTTCCCCCATTAATTCATTTTGAATAATATGTTTGAATAATTCCATTGAAACTGACCAATTAAATAACTGAAAAACAACAGCACATGGAAAAGAAATAAAATAATGCAGGTTGTTTTTAGCTGTATGACAGACAGGGACTGAGGCACAGAGACTTATGATAAACCAAACAGCTGAGAGGGTGAGAAAGAGAGAGAGAAGAGAGCGACAGGGAGAGGGAGGAAGGGAGGGAAGAACATGAAGACTCTATTACAGAAAAGGAGAAGAGATGTCAGCTTTACGTAAGTTTGGAAAATACTACAGTCATTAAACACACTGAGTGTTGATGGTCAAATTGTTCTGACTCTGACCATGATGTCATGCTATCACTTCCAAGTGCTGACCTTTTTTTCTATTTCCAATGGAAGTCTCACATCTCTTCTCAGGAAAAGCTGTGAAGTTTCCCTTTGAGGATCCAAGTTTGTCAGTTCAGTGAATATTTCAGGCCAGTCTCGAATATGCTGCAAAGGCTTGTGATATGGCTTCAGTTGGAGGCCTGAAAAGTAACAGGGTTTGTTTCCGAATAAACAAACAGAATAACCCAGCACATACACACACACACACACACACACACACACACACACACACACACACACACACACACACACACACACACACACACACACACACACACACACACACACACACACACACACACACACACACACACACACACACACACACACACACACACACACACACACACACACACACACACACACACACACACACACACACACACACACACACACACACACACACACACACACACACACACACACACACACACACACACACACACACACACACACACACACACACACACACACACACACACACACACACACACACACACACACACACACACACACACACACACACACACACACACACACACACACACACACACACACACACACACACACACACACACACACACACACACACACACACACACACACACACACACACACACACACACACACACACACACACACACACACACACACACACACACACACACACACACACACACACACACACACACACACACACACACACACACACACACACACACACACACACACACACACACACACACACACACACACACACACACACACACACACACACACACACACACACACACACACACACACACACACACACACACACACACACACACACACACACACACACACACACACACACACACACACACACACACACACACACACACACACACACACACACACACACACACACACACACACACACACACACACACACACACACACACACACACACACACACACACACACACATGGTTAAACGCTGCACCAAAACCAGAGTATCTGAAATTGAGGACTCATTAACATTTTCCCTATGTCTTCCAAACTGCTATACATAAAAGGTTTTGAAAATATTGGATTTATTGACAAAACTCTCAGCATCGAGTCACTAAATGCACTAGTGATTAAACTTTGCTATTTTCAGTTTCTCAAGAGTGAAGTGGTATTTCAAAATTTAATGAAGTACCAAGACTGACCTTAAAAACACAATAATAAATCTAATACTAGAGCTTGTTGCCTCGATTATTATGGGAGAAATACAGAGTCCAGTAATCTTATTTCTGACAGAAAAATACAGATATAATTTATCTTATATTTTCCTTTTGTATGTATATAAATCATAAACTTCTCAGCACAGACATTCTTCTTTTTAATCTGCAAAACATCTTGATTCCTAATAGGCTACAGTTAGTCAATGCTTCATGTTCTCCTGTGTATATGAGAGCTGAGAAATTAATACACAGCTTTCCACTATAGTCCTACTATCTCCATACCTTCAGTTCACTCGCTCACCCTGCCTGGTCCTGTGATTATCACTTGGCTTTTTCTAGGAGTGAGGAATTAGCATTGTCTGCCTCCTCCTCCCTGCTCTGGCTTTCACACTGTGACATTGCACATTATATGAAAAACTTCCATGGACATGTTACAGTGCAACATCTTTCACCGAGAACAATCTGTTCATTCAACATATCCACCTTACATTCAAACACAGAAGAACATTATCTGTCCTACAAGCAAGAAATCTGTGGCCAAAACAGTTGTACACAAACTGCAAGAAACACAATTCATAATGAAATTTGTCCATTGGTTGTTTGAAGCCATAAATCAGACACTGACTCATTTTCAAACTCAGGCTAAATATCTTCCTTTCAAACAAGCAATGCATCAGTGAGTTCTTTCCCTCAAATGCAAGGGTAATACTGCAATGATTCTATGAAAACATGACACACATATTTAGAAAAAGGGCAAAGCAGCAAACTTAAACCCTCAAACACTTCCTTTTCTTCCAGACATTAACATCTATGTTTATCTGAGGGTGACAGCAGTCATGTGGCATACAGTGTAGTAAAAAGGCAAATGGCATGACACTGGGAGAAGATGATTAAAGAAGAATGAAGGAAAGATTTCCTGTGATATTTACAGATATTTCAAAAAAACATAACCATGGCACTGTAGTGGAACACTGGCAACAGTAAACACAAATTTAAACGTAAGGCTTCTGTGTTAGTGACACTGTCCACACATCCTACCAGACCTGAACTGTGCTTTGGAATCCACAATAACATGTCCCATTGCTGTCGTGTTGCAGCAGCACTGCTGACCATGTTTTCTGACAGGCAATCACACTCATCGAATCTTTTGGGGTTCTAGTTATTTTTAGCTATATACCTCAAACAAAAACTATAATACACTTTATACTTAGATCAGAAATACCAAAAAATACAGCAAATTTAATAGACATTTTGCATGAGATTTCTCTCCTACCAAATGAAAGCTAATGGAAAATTATTTTGGTGCAAAATATATGAAAATTCATATGATTTAAGATCCTAATGAAAAAAACCTCCACTAATCAGATTACTTTAATCACTAGTTTTAAAAAGATGAAACATTGGTTAAAACAGCTTCATGCATCCAATTTCAGATACTCTGGGAAGAAAAATATGACTAAGCCCGGGATAAGCTAGCAGTGGGACCATGACAGCCAAGGTGCCCTGTAACAGAAAGGCAGCCTGGACTAGCCTCATGTTCCCAGACAAAACACATTCTAGGTGCCACACTGATACGTGGTCACACCTATTGTGGGTACCCAACGTGACAGCTAAAATAGAGAAGCTCTTTATAGTTTGCAGATATCAGGCTGCCAAAGAACATGTTTCCTATTTTCCTAAGACACTAATATTTTCTCCTTAAGGCAAGCAGAAACAAAGTAAGATAAACTCCCAAGTGTAACCATCTTCCTTCTTTACTTACTGAGGTTCTCTGAACAGATCCAGATAGTGAAGTACTGCTGAGTTTCTTGAGACAGACGCATGCCCTCCATTATCTGCTGTACAGTAGTATTGTTTCCATGTTTCAGCTCAACGGAGCGATACGACCCATCCATCCGATAAATTCGTGCCTTTTCATACTACATAAAAACGTAAACACGTTAAACAACCTATTAAAATCCTTTCTGTTGGTGCTTCTGAAAAGGAAAGTAATTTTACCATAACTCAGCAACTGCCATAATGCTGGGAAAAAGAACACTGTACCACTCCTGGACATTTATTATTTATCCAAACTGCTTGTTTCATGTCCTATGCAAGTTGTTATACTGTGCTTTTTATGACAATATCTCCAATATCTAACTGATATTTTGAGGACTTCTGTTGAACAAAAAGGCAAGTAGGAATTTAGAAGTTCCCTGAGGGATTTGGGCTCAACTGCCTATGCATATCTCAAAATGTCCACCTTGCTATTACTGACAGGTTATTATTTTTTCCCTTCATTTGTCTATACTAAAAAGACTTATTTTTCAGAGGGCTGAACCACCCTTTACTCAAACCCCACTCCAATAAGAATACAATCTTACTAAATCTTACGATGCTTCTACAGTATTATTGCTAATAAAGAATTTTCCCCCTTGGAACTCCCATAGCTTTCACTGAATTGCATATGAGCCCATATTATGCCTCCTGAGAGACATAAATCAGGTGCTTAAAGCTTATACACACATCATAAATCGACGAAGTGTCTTGATTATCTTGATATCTTGAATAAAAATGTTGCAGGAATTTGTTATTTTCCTTCTTCAAATATACTGAGTCATCAAGCTCTAAGTTCCTAAAAACTTTTGGAAAAAAAAAAAAGATGGATGCTTTGAAAAATGACAACTGACTGAAAATGAGGCTGGAATGGAAAACATATAGTCTATTTTTGCTGCAGTAGTCACTGTCACTCCTACTGCAGTAATTTCTACTTTTTAATTTTAATGTATTAACTCAATAGTATTAAGTGACAACATAATATCACCCATTACACTCTGAAATCTACTTAAAATGTGTGCACTAATCTTTTACAGCCATTAGACATACACATCTGCCTTTGGATCACCTGCACAATAAGATCCCTGAAGTACAGGTCAGTTCTGTCCTTAATTATTTTGGAAGATCATTTACACAGAGTGAATGAAAATAATTTAAAGTATCTTGGAAAACTGGCTGGTTTACTACCACCTACCTACAGGGATACAAGTTGCATCAGAAGTCGAAGAAAAGAAAAAAGTGGTGTGATTTGGCTAATTTAAAAATCTACTTCAGTATAAGAGGAATCACATTGTAAATTTTGTTTCCAATGCTGGCTAGATCTCCACTGGCTGCCAGGGAAGCCTACACTGACTAACTGATGTAAAGCCTATCTTGTAGAATCCTACATTTAGTCAGCTGAATACTCCTGTTGCATACAGAAATCTGATGGTTGTATGATCAAAAGGAGACATAAAATCAGTAGCCGATGTGATGCTCCTACAAATGAATCAGAGCATCATGTTTGAATGCTTACATGTATTTCTTAAGCCACAAAAGTGAACAGAACCATGCACAGACAAAATATCAGTCTGCCACTATTTACACTAACAATTTCAGTGTGCTGCACATTTCTCATAACAGCTATAAATGAGCCAAGCTCTTCTACAAGCCTGTAGGCAAATTAAATATAAACTTTGAACTATTTAGAAAATAAATTCATACAGGTTTATTTATGGCTTCCTTCAGTAGTTTTGCAGCTTCTTCCCACTCATTTTGTTTGTTCTCTTCACAGACATTCAGTGGAGATCTTCCTTGTTGATCAGTGATGTGCTACAAACATAAACATAAACACTGATTCTACATTGACTTCACTGGAAACAGGTAAACATTTACACATTTTTGATACCATTAAAACCCCTGATCCTAGAGTTCAAACATCTAATGGATATACAATGGGAAAAGTAGAGGTAATGAAAAATATTTAAACACTTTTTGGTCATCTCTGAACATCATTGTGTTTACACATTGTGATCTGGACAAAAAGTATTTCTCACAGACAAGCTAGAAACTATTGCTAAAACTTCTATTTCTATACACAATCAGAACTTACTCTGTCAATTTCTGGATGATTTAGCAGAATCTGTACTATTTCAGCATGCCCACCTCCAGCAGCAAAATGCAGAGGAGAGCTGAGTTGGCCATTCAGAAGATTTGGATTGCATTTCCCTTTGTCCAACAGCATTCGAGTGGCTTCAACTTTCCCATACCTGCAGACAGGTTTACAGCAGAACAGACACAGCAAACGTAAAATATCTTTTTTTAGACAGTCCTAAATAAGGAAAAGTGTTTTTCCACACTCATTTTAGCTTCTGAATTACACTGAAGACAATGGAACATTAATAAGTTTGTAGAAATGTATATCAGTTCTGCACTTCTTTGGTAATTATTGGTCTTGTAGCCATTTATTGGATTGATTATAGACAAACTGAACTTTGCCTTAAACTAGCTAAGTTTGGGTAGTTGTAGAAATTCAGTCATGGAAGAACAGAGTTCAGCCTTGTCTGGAATAAAAGATAATGTCAGAGTTCAGCTTCTGATTGTCATGCAGATGGATCCTGACAATTCTTAAGCCTCATGCTTATAACTCATAACTCTTGTGTATAAACTGTATGCAAACTTTCTGACAAATCAAGTAAGGTTGTGGGTTTTTTTATAACTAAGTTTGATTTTCATGTTATTCATATCATCAGACATACTGACCATACATATCCAAAAGTCTGACTTCCATGAAGACAAAACAAAAGCGTTTTTACAACTGAGGAAAGCTTTCAAGCACCTACAGATTAAATCAGAGTTATAATCAGAAAAGTTTACTGCTGTAAATCACCTCATCCAGCTTCACACTCAAACCTTGACCAGCACCAGAACATGCTCAGCTCAGCTACTGCTGTGCAGCTGCTCACAGCTGTTAACCAACAAAGACTGTAAAAGTTACCAAGCTAAACTAGATCCAGTGTCTTCAACAGGAATTAGAGCAGATACTCAGGACAGATATAAGAGGCAATAGGTAGGTGATGACATGATCTCCACACTTGGTCACCTCCAAAACCATTCAAATGGAAATGATCTCAAGCAATCTTTCTCTTCAGGTTAACACTAACATATATTAGAATCAGAACACAAAACGTCTACAGGCTTTTTAATTTCTTGTTTTTGAGGCTGTATGATAAATAACATAAATGACTAGCACTAGAGAATCATGGTAGCAAGAATGCATTGAATTGGCAAAATTACCACCTGACTCACCAGCATGCGTAATGGATTGGTGCCCAGTGGTCACTATCCAACTGATTAACAGAGAACTTTTTATCCAGAAGGTGGCTCAACAAGTCAGAGTCACCTTCACAAGCACTGCGGTGAAGGGGGAAATCATCTACCCACTGGTGTTCCCTAGGAATTAAAAGGGAAAACGGGAGGAAAACGCAGTTCAGAAATATTTCAGTAGTTGAGAACATCAACTTTTAAAAAATTACTCACATAGCACTAACTGTAGATCTACATGAAGAATCAGATAGAAGTTCATGCAGCTAAAATGTGCCAGTATCCATACAACTAGTACTTTTGTCATGCAGTAGTCAAACCACAGCTGTATTTATTATGCTAAGAAATGCTTCCCCAATGTTTGTCATGTACATCTTTCTTGATCCATCCCTTAACTGTTGTTTCACTACTTAGAGACTTCAAATACAATTTTTTATATGTATTCCTACAGTAAAGCCCTAAAGTAATAGGAATCTCATTCTGACCATGTCTACCACGTGCTACTGTAATATAACAAAACAAAATCATCCACTCATGAAAAAGTAATGTAACGTAATACTTGTCCTCTGTGACACTGCTCATGCTACGTTGCCACTTTTCTCTTTTAGGAATCTGAATCTTTGAATAGTCTGGGGCTCCAAGGCCAAAGTATGGATTTATTACCACCTTGTCAACCTGTGAAGACATAATTTAAACACAACTGAAAAAATATCTTACTGAGATTTGGCTACACACCCCCCCATCCAGGCTGAGCATTCTCTTGAAACCAAAGTCATGATAGCAACATTTTATAACTAAAGACAATGATGTTCACATGTGAGGGTTTGAAAAACTATTGCACACTTACTGCTAAAGAAAGAAATCTGATTCTGTTAAACACAAAGCACACTCATGTATCAGATTAATGAATTGCAAAACGAAAACATATGTATGCTTCACAAATAGCAACTGAAAACATAGTCCTTACCCTATTGGTATACTGAAGATCAGATCCAAACAAAGGATTATAGATACACATATCTGCTTTCTCCAGTGCCAGCATTTTACTCTTTATTTCCAGGGCAGTATAACCCATGTGTAATGAGCTCTCTGTTTGTCCAGGCTCTATAGCATAGGCAGGGTTTATTACATTTGTTTTAATTCTCTCCAGGGGAGATGGTCTGAATAAAGCTGGGATGGAGTGAGACTGGGTGTGCCGTTCATCCAACCACCTGCAGGAGACAATGGCTAATTACTTTTCAGGTAGGAAAGGATTATTTAGGTCATGCCTGTCCATTATTTTGTTTGATTAAGGGTTGCATGTACGATAATCACACATTTTAATTTAAAAAAATAACTATAAAGGGCACAGCCAATTTTATAGGACTAAATTAATGCCCAAATGTGAAATTTGTTAACACAATTAAGCAACTGTACTTGCTCAAACATATTTCCTGCAGATGCAAACTCTCAAACAAAAGGAAATTATAAGCCAAGAATAACATTGGTTGTCACCGAAAAACTTAACCACAGCAACGTTACCATTTCATTTACTTTCAGTTATTACTACCCTCAACACACAAATTTTGAAACAAAGCAGTTGTTTAAGGGTGACTTTGAATATCTGTGCTGACTTAAGCCTTCTAACTCACGTTTCATTTGGGAGAGATGAGAAAAGGCAAAAAACCCAGAAGGTCCAGTTGCCAAACTTTTAGTAAGTCTCCCATAGGCTACCACCTGCCTTTTCACAAAGCTGTGCTGAAGTTTATTCTCTTCTCGGTTCATTCTCACTGACAGTACTGAAGGGCTTTAGAGCCCTTCTACTGTGAGCTAATGGGGAAAGTCAGTACTGTACACCTGAAACATTTTTTCCTGCCAGATATGCAATAAAACACAGGGCTCAGGGCAAATTATCCACCTCAGATTTTGGACATACCTGTTTTCACTGAATTGCTACGGTATTTTAGTGTTACGTTGAATGGTGCAGATTTTAACTAAGGGTCGAAAGCCAAGTTTGTACTTAGGCTTCTGCACATGCTTTCTCACGAGCTGGAAGTAAAAATGTGCTTTGTTGGAATATAATAAACTCAGTTTCAGTGATTTAGCCTGGAAATACAGAAGGCAGTGCTTTGGACATCCACTGACAGACCACGTGGATCTTGTCTGTCCCAGAAGTGTAAGGCAGAAAGTGACCTGCAGTTCAATGCATATGCTTAGGTGTGTATTTTTAAGTCCTAGATCCAAGCTATAATGTGCTGCATGAGCAGCATTCTCTTCACTTACTCATTGTCCTGCAGGGAAGGAGAAATGTAAAACATGGTCATTGTGCTACAAACACCCTCTAGAAGGTGTTTCAGGCATTTTCTCTAAACATTTGGTAGATAAATTAGTTATGGTAGCTTGAATCTTAGAGAAGTGTTTCAGATTACATACACAGAGAATAATGAATATGACTACTGGAGAATAAAGACTGCATAGAGAATAATGTAATAACTTTCTATCATATGTCCAGGGCTTCTCTCACAACTGTGAGGCTTGAAACACTTTTCAGCAATGCTTAGAGCCTGAAGGTGTTCAGTAGGCAGCAAACACATATGACTGCTATGAGGGTATACATGGAAACATTACTAATAAACTGTAAAAACCCTGCACACAGAACCTTTCAGGTAATAAAACTACAATGTATGATTTTTTCATAAGTTTTAAGTTAATACATTGGCATGTCTGGTATTTCTTTGTTAAGAGTACATAAAAAAACCCCAAAAAACAAACCTGCTCACATAGTCAAACTTCGAAGTACTATAAATCTAGATAAACAACTAACCACCTTTCTGAAACTTAATTCCCTACTGCAAAAAATTTGTGGGTCTGGGGAAGATGCACTCTCTTTCTACAGAGAGACTTAATTTAAATGTAAATCTTAATGGTATACAATTACAGGATATTTATACTACACTCTGGCAAATGCTCTTACAGATGACAATTATGTCACTTACAGAAAATTAAACATTATGATTTTACAAAACATTCGCTGTGAGCAAGAACTCCCAAAAAGCCACTTGATTAGCACACCACTCTTGGGTTTGCAAAAAGCCTTCAAAAGGTTTAGAAATCTGTTGTCAATTTCTGATAAACATGAAGAAAATACCATGGTAATTTCCTTCTTAATCACAAGAATGCTATAAAACTATGTGCTGTGTCTACAATTTATCTTATATATATTTACATTTTTACATAAAACATAAAAATATTCTATTTTAATGCACTTTTACTGATGGCATTTCTTACTTGTCCAAGGCAATTAGCATTTTTGCAGTAAGTGTAGCAAAATGGGTGCTGGATTCACTGCAGACTCTCATGATGTCTTGTAAACAGTAGAACACAGGGCATCCAGGACTGTATGCATATTTCGTATTATCTAGAAAGGAAATACACTTTGAAGACGTATCTGTGAGAAGAATCTTGTTTTCCCTTCTACACCTTTTGTGATTACATGCTCCTAATTGATTACGATTATAGTCTAACTTGAGACTAGAGTAACTTAATTTTCTACAAACAATAATTGATAGAAATTAGAATCCCTTACACAGGGAATCCCACACACAGGCAAATTAGAATCCCTTACACAGCAATTCACAGCCCAATGTGTAGCCTCAGAAACCTTGAAGTATTCTGTTAGCATTTCAGAGTGATCAGCTCAATCTGAGGAATTAATGTCAAATGCATACTGTTACCAGAAAAGCACTAAGGACTAGTATTGTTATTGGTAACTCCACAATGGTACCTAGTTGCTAGGTTTTATCATTGACTCCTATAAGTTAATGCACATGTTTTGAAATATAACCAAGTGCACAAATGCTGCTAAAACAGCAGTGTGCTGCCATTGCAGAAATAAAGGCAACACATTAAACCAAATATTTTTTTTCCTTAAATTCAAGTAACCTTTTCAAGCTTTAAAATAGCCAGGGAGTTTTCCACCAGAATGCAACTTTTAATGCTTAAATGCAGAAAAGCCATATAAAAAAAAAAAGTCATAAAAAATAAACCCTCAAGCGAATGTCTGCTAGAATAGCACAGGTTCAGCAATCATGCTCAGCGTTACCTTTCACAACTGTTGGGACAATGTACAGAGATGCCTCCTGGCCTGCCCTCTCTCCATCTAGAGCAAACTTCTTCATTAGCACTACACGCTTTCCTAGCACAGTATTAAAACAAAACCAGAAAGCAAAATAATTAATTAATCAACAAAGAGGAAGACAAAAATCTAGAGCTGGCTATCTGAAAGCTCACCAGACTCAATCTTCCTAATTTCCAGGAAGAAAAAAATCATGATTATGAGCTGTCATCTAAACCAAGCTAAGAAAATCTAAATCCGTATGAAAAACTAAAGAACATAAATATGTATATACCCATTACATGAAAAATTGACATGACTTTCTTACCTCAGCTGCATATTTCAGCAGTGGCCACACTAAGCTGTGCACATCAATGTTTGGGCCGTCTGTGAGTCAATTTAAAGCTTTCTAAACTGTGTAAGAAGCAATTTTTGCTTTTTCTAGGTATTCCTCAATGCACATTAATGCTATTGTTATTCTGTGTTAGCTGCATAATGAGCTTTGCTAAGTCCATCCAGCTGCAGTTATTGCCACCCACAACATTTTCCTATGCAACCAGCTATTCCTCCTCTAAATTGTCACTGCATTGTCTTGCCCACACTGACGACCTGCCCAGTATAACCTTACTTGCAAAGCAGCAATGAGGTACACAGCAAAGAACAAAAGTTCTTTAGTCAGTGGAGCTTATACGTATCTGGAAATGGAATATGCTGCCTAAAACAAATTTGTCCACACAAGTGAGGTTCTTTGCTAGATCAGCTGTGCAACAGCAATGAAAATGTACTCCATCAAATTCATTCTGCAAGTGATACAGTTATGCCAGAAATGTCTTCATGTAGATACTACCTTCTGAACAATGCTGCTTTAGGAAGAGGCTTTAGAAGCTATCAGTTCACCAGTTCAAGGCAAATATTTGCTGAAATTAAGGACAAAAAAGCCACTTGGATCTGGTTTACTGGAAGCTTAGCTATAAATCTAAACTCGAGGTGAAGAAGTAGTACAGGCAAACAAAGTTTAATTTATAAAAAAATCTTTTAGTAAGCATCTTATAGAGTTGAAAGGTAAAGGAAAACAATGGTAAATTAAAGGTTTTAGCTGTATAGTTGGCTTGTGTTTTTTTGATGAACCTCAAAACATAACCTTTTTTAAAAATTAATGTCATGCTTTTGCACAATCTTGCCATGCCCAATTAATTTAAAAAATATTTTTATAGAGCTACCAACAATATATCAAATTAAAATGTTTTTACCTTTAATACCCTGATTGGCTGGTGAAATTGGTTTGGTGGCTTCTAATACATAATCCAAGATGCTCTGGGTTATCTCAGTGCCTCCCTGAAGTTTAGTTTCCAGCAAAACTTTCTTTCTTTTTTTCTTTTGGCCTTCAATGGGAACTTCAAGCAACAAAATCTTTCAAACAATAATGAAAGCAAAAGGAGTTTAAGCACAACTGAAAGAAGCACAGAACTTTCTTTTTCTTTCTTTTTTTGTATTTATTGTACCACTGTAAAAGCAGCAACAAAATTCAAGCACTGGATGCTGAGGAGCAGGATGGGGAAGTCAGAATGACCTCTGTAACAGGTTAAGAAGAAAAAGACAAGGCTGCACCTTGTAATGAGCAGCCCACAGGGCAAAAGCTATTAGAAAATCATAAAGTGTGCAAATACCATAAGGTAGGGCAATGCACAGTGGGTATATAACATACATAGACACTACTTAAGCAATCTTACTGTCAGATTTTCTCTTCTGCTACATTATTACACACTTACTATAATGTATTATTTTTTAAAAAGCCACAAACAAAATAACTAATAGATAAAAATAAATTAAAGAGCTTTACTTCATAGCATTTAGCTCGATATTCCCGAGAATTGAGGCTAGCCGTATTTTTTGGACGAATCACAGCAACATAGGCATCTCCAATGTTTTCCGGGTTTCCCATCTCTCCTTCTTATTTTATCACTGGAAACAATGAATAAACAGGAAGAAAAGGTTCAGTTGAAAAATAAAATCCAACAGGACACTGAACGTCGGGATGCAGTAATTATTTCCACTGATGCTTTGCATTATTCATTTATTGTTCTTTAGCTGGAGAAATGCCAGCACACACTATATCACACAGATTTAACACGAATAATCTTGTTCTCTAACCCACTTTTTAAATAATGTTTGGGGTTTTTTTCACTTTGTAACTATCTTCCCCAGTTTGCAAGCCAGACAAGAGGCCAAAGAAATCTAGAAATCTGGAACAAGATATTAAATTGAAAAAGAAAACCATTTTGAAGTGACAAGCACTGCGATTCATAAGAAGTGCTGTAACAAAGTACTGTGTTTCTACGAGTTCCACATGGATTTCAAGAAAATACCTGTTTTTCATCTCCTCCCCCGCAAAGTAGAACACAGTCTTGCCTAGAGCCAAGTAACAAAACTTATTAAAAATAAACTCTAATATGGATTCATTTACTCAGTTTTACTTCAGTGAGGCTGCAAACTGGTGCACTGAAAGCACTGGAGCATCTAAAACGAATGCATCTTTAGTTTTTGCAAAAAGTGGACAGTGACTTAAGAGAAACACTTTGCTTACCCTTGTGCTTAAACCAAGGTGACAATTCCTACAATCACAAAATTGTATGAAAATTATAGGGAAAACCTCCTAAAGCTAAATCACTTCCTATATCAGCTTCGATAAAGAAGGTCATGTCTGACCATTAGCACCTTCCAGCTGATCATTTTCATCTGCAAATGAGGACCCTTTCGTTCCACAGCATCAGTAAGCACATGCTTTTTGCAGATTAATTCTTCCACAGATTTCAAATGTTACTGTTTCTAGCTTCGTCACCTCCTCTAGAAGAAACAGAGGTCTTCAGATCCCCATGCTCTTAGTCCAGTATTTTTTCCTGGGATCAGACTACCTGAAAACATGTTAAAAAAACCCAACATAAATAACAGCATGGGGATTTTAATTTTCACTTACGATAAATACATCAGTTAGATGATTTAATGGTGCTGTATGAACAGTAATATCTGAAGAGAAACATGCAATGATTTGCATTCCAGTAGCATCTGGAAACATTAAATAAGCAACTTGCTGACTTGTGACAACTCCTATTTCATAGAATCACAGAATTTTAGGGGTTGGAAGGGACCTTATAGATCATCTAGTCCTAATCCCCCCTGCCATGAGTAGGTACACCTCCCACTAGAGCAGGCTGCTCAAGGCTTCATCCAACCTGGCTCTGAACACTGCCAGGATTGGGGCATTCACTACTTCTCTGGGCAATCTGTGCCAGTCTCACTACCCTCACAGGAAAAAGCTTTATCCTAGTATCTAGCCTAAATTTCCCCTCCTCCAGTTTGTACCCATTGCCCCTTGTCCTGTCACTACAGCTCCTAACAAAGAGTCCCTCTCTGGCTCCCCTATAGCCCCTTCAGATACTGGCAGGTTGCTATGAGGTCTCCACACAACCTTCTCTTCTCCAGGCTGAACAGCCCCAACTCCCTCAGCCTGTTCTCACAGGGGAGATGCTCCAGTGCTCTTATCAACTTCATGGCCTCCTCTGGACTTGCTCCAATACTAAGAGTTTTAAAAGAAAAAAGAATGAACCATCCCCTACGGGCAGCTGGGAAAGGCACGCTCCCTGGGTTTCCAGGGCAGCAGGATATACTGGATTTGTGTCACAGGTTTGTGTGGAGGGAATCAGCGGTGGTAGGGCTGGATTATCTGGGTGGCAGGTGATGGGGCAGGTGAATAAGCAGCAGGTGAACTCCCCCTGCC